TATTTATATATATATAGTGTACTTGAACAGTAGCAACTTAAACCCTGCACAAACTTTCTGGAAAATAAACTTCTTTTTTTTCTTTTTTGCACTCTTACATATATAAATAATCTTATAGAATCAGCACCTTTTTCCCAGGAGTTGTATCTCTTTTTTTTGACATTTTTCAAAAGGGATGTGCCAATTTCTGAACTCCTATCACAGCTATAAATTTCAAGTTATTGACCATCTGAATGAATTGCTAATGATGATTTACCTAGAATCACACTACAGTCACTTCTCTACTGAGAAAACACAATCTACAATATAGTCCCATATAGCTAATGATAGATACACAGTTGGTTTTTTTTTTCTTTTTTCCTAGCACGAGGCCGATGGAGCATCGGCCCTTTGTTATTTTGTTTAAAGCACACAACGTAGCAATAGTTTTGGAACTTTGTCCGCACCAAAAAAGTTTTGCAACAACACAGAGCGAGTTAATAACAACATCTGAGAGATGGTTGAGTAAAAGCTATATTTACAGCGTTTAAAAATTAGACTTATCTATAATCTTGAAATATTCAAAGTTTTATTTCTAAGCTATACATTGGTATTCTATAATAAACTGTTACAGAAATTATCCCTTGTTTTGAAAATATTATGATTTCAGTGTGTATCTGTTCATAACGTGTATTTGTTTGGAGTTTCGATCTCTTAATTATTACTAGGAAGAACCTTATTACCGGTAAGGAATAGAATATACTACTGTAATCTCCTGAGGAATTGTACATCCAATATTGTCTCTAATTCTACCCTGTGTCTATAAGCACACACCACAAGAATCCAAACACCACAAGAAGAACAAGACAACAGTCTTTGAATGCAACATAAAAATTCAGAAAAGCACAGCAAACATGAAACATTGAAAAGCTGAACTACATTTCTTTTGTTTGTTAGGATTACAATTTTAATTACATCTGTGTACATAGAATAAGGATGTTCACATAGTACAGGGAGCAGCTACTAACACTGGTACATTGGTATAGCATTGGATGGAGGTTATTGTTTATTGGTTATTTAGCGACTGTAGTTTTCTGGGGGCATCTAATCGGTTTATACATTAGATTACACCTCGTAACAGTCTTGAAACTGACTGACTTTCATGCTGTGACAATACCGGTTGAAAAGCACATATACTGGTTTAGCTACTTGTTTAAAGATTGCCATTTACAAAACAAAATCTAAATCAATAAATAAGGTATAGAAGTGTTAAATTCTTCAATTTGGTCAGAAGTCTACTACTCTGATTTCTTAATTTTGCGAACGTCGGCATTTGCCTTATTGCCTCTAAGCTACTATTGGTTCATAGGGTTTGTCTGCGTGTGAGGTTATAATTTTGCAAACAGGCAGTATCTCGTTCATTTGCAACTGAAGCAGTTAGAAACCACGCAGCAACCATACCTTTGTACAGCCGCTGTCTCCTAACAGCGTTACAGATTGGTATTTGACATGGAGTATTTATATGTTAGACTACTCGGATATACTGTAGGTGTAATCTAATCCTTTGAGTCAGTGAACATTTAGTTATAAACTGGAGCTCATGTTAAGAAACTGGATGTTTTGGACCAGACTGGCACACAACATAAATTGCATCCGTGATAATATGCACCTTCCCTTCAACTATTGCTTTAGTAAGATAAATTCCCACATTAATAAATGGCTGAAAACTGGTAAAGCTGGTACAAAAAAATCTCCGTTAGTAAGAAGAAACAAAACATTTAAAAAAATCTTCCTTCAGGATTCATTTGTCCTTCATTATTGTTCATCATTGTTCAAGCCAGCACAAAAATGCAGTATTTCTTTCTCTTTAGTATTGCATGAATGAATAAAGCTTAAACTATTCCCTGAAAAAGTTACATTGTAGCTAACCTAAGAAATATCTGGAAGACTTGAAAAAACAATTAAGGAATCAAATGGCTGTAACTGATCTAGATGGAAAATGCAATGATAAGAAGCAGCCGATGCATCGTCGCTTAGTCGTCTAATTAGACTGCTCCTATGAAATCTAATACTGCATTCAGTCAGTTCATCGTGTTGTACTGTACCGCTAGGTACGGTGGTTCTCTCTTTGATTCCTTTGTCATTGGGGACATTATGGTTCATAATAAGTTCACTGGCATCCATATTATGGATTTCCATCCTTTGGCAGGCCTGGCTTCCATCTCTCTTCAATTAGAGACCTCTTTTAAAAAGTTCAGCAGCAAAGAAAAAAGGAGAAAAGGAAAAAGGAAAGGAAAGAACAGAAAGGAAAAGAGAGGAAAGGAAAAGGAAAAGAACAACTGTATCAGAAAGACACAGAAGAAAAAGTTGAAAGCTGCTTCACAGTCTTGCTGCTAAATATCAGTGCAGTCATTTTTTCCTTAATTAAACACTAAGTTTCTTTGCCATTATTATCCTGTTTATTTCCCTTTTTTTTTTTTTTTTTTTTTTTAAAACGTGCATGATGGGAAAGCCCATGATGCTTTAGTCAGACCTTGGCCTCCAGCATTTCCAAAAAAAGTTTGTGCATGGGGACTTTGCCTTCCAGTTTGATGTTGTAGAAATGCTGCACAGCCTTGGTGGAGGTTTGCCTCAGAAGTGGGAGAGTCATCAACATCTTGCCTGCGCGACGTGGGTCTTCCATGTGCTGCCCGGCCTCGTAATCCTGCAGAGCCTCATGTAAGACGTCCTGAAGTTTCTGCACCGCCTCAACATCCTCTATGTGCATCGAGTCTGCAAAACAAAGGAGCGAGAGGAGGTTTCAGTTTGGTGTGCCAGAAGTCAGGCGCGCCTACGGCTGCGCAACGCTTTCACCGGTTCTGTCCATCCTCCTTTGAGAAGGAAGACAATTACTCACTAATTTCTATAGTGACCTTCAGGAAAGTATCTGGAGCCGCTGCGCAACTACAAATGTGTAATTAACTCATGATAAGTAATCCTTCTCCTCATCCTCCTCAACCTAGTAAAATGGTCACCCTCGCTGGACCACAAACCACCTCTTACAGTCGCCGCTTTGAAGAAATGACAGCGCCAGAGGGATGCTGGCTGGGTGAGCTGCGGCCTGCGTTTTGGCAGGGAAGCAAGAACCGCTGCCCTACTACGGAATAGCTTGGTCAGACTCTGTGGCAGGCTCGGAGGCTTCGGAGTGGGAGCCATGGTCGGTACCCGCTTGCTGAGGGAGACTAATCACAGGATTAGGACCACTGCGCTGACACAAGGGAAAAGCAGGTTTCACCGATTTCCCGATAGGTTTAGCAAATTCCTTTGACTCGGGCACATTCAGACAGGCAACAAACGCTCTGCGAAGCCAACATCTCCTACAAGGTGTAAGCCTTCTCTCCCACCCACTCAGAGGGTGGTTTATCTTATTGTTGGGGGTTTGCATTTTTTCTGAATCACTCCAAGCAAGCACCTCGTCCTGTACCTTTCCAGGTGAGGAGTTTTGGTGGTATAAGTATTGAGTGACAAGCCTAGACACAATGCACACCAAAAACTAAACTAAACTGCTACATGACCCAGAAAGATTAAAGCAATGGAAGTGTGAAATAAAAAGAAAAGATCTAACTGAAATAACTGTAAAACCCTCAGCAGCACAGGTACACAAAGGGAAGATGTCTCTGAGAACACGCAGTTACTGGACCATGCTGAGATGACTTTGGATGAGCAGCCCTAATTCTCTGACTTTTATGTAGTCATAAATGCCAAAAAACTCATGATGTGGGCCAAAGTGAGGAGAATGCAAGCAAGAAAGAACAGCCAGGGGCAAGAGAGGGCACTAAACAGCCCCCATCAGCTACCAAAATTTGGATGGTCCACAGCCTTACAGAGCCAAAAAAGCACTGGAAGAAAATATAACTGCTGCGAGGGGGTGCAAGCCCTAGGGACAGGCTACACTGCGCAAGCTTAGCTCAGGGCGAAGCACTGGGACACAGCGTTAGCAACGTGTAACCTTGAAAACTCCAGTCAGTACAACGCTGCAATGCAGCCTAATACTTGGTTTTGGAATAAAGCTCCTGTTTCCACACAGAGTAACGTCTGAGAAGCTGGAAGGTGAAGAACCTGCTTCTACCATCTTTTCAAGCCCCGTACTAAGCAGTATGATGCCCTGGATCAGTATTTTGACAGAGACTTGTGTTTTACCCTGTTGATGGTAACAACATCAAATTTCGCACGTGCCTCAAATATCTGAATTACATTCAGAGAATTAAGATGCAGCCAAGATACATTTCCTAAAAGCTGACATGCAACTACTTCCTCAGATAATTAGGTCAGATAGTAAATACCTCGCTCTCTTCAAACACAAACATGTAAACGGAAACACAAACCAGTAAGTAACAGGTTAACAAAAATGTTCTGGCTTCTATTGTCAAAACAAATGTGCAAATTGAAAAGAAAAAAAAAATTAAAGTTACAGCTCCCGCTCTAAAACAGACACTTAATTATATACAAGTTTGGATCATTTAGCACGTTTTATTGATTCTGATGACAGTTTATCTGTTAATTACACATAATGGAGTCCTAAGGGAATTTTACGTGTTTAATAATTCTGAGTCTTAGCGAATACATGCTCTAAGAAGCATGCAGTTAAGACACACGCTGCAGGGATGCGCTACTGCGCATCAAGGTGCACTGTGCTCAAAGCAGAGCAACACAAAAACCTCTCTCTGAAGGAAAAAGAAAGCTACAACACTTTAAAGACGATGACAGGGAAATATTACCTCTAGCAAAATTTAGGTCTAATTAATGTGAGACCATTCCCCAAATCCATAAATTTTTGATAGTTTTCTAATGTGGCAATTCTATTAAATAATTCTGTGTCAATAAGAGGAAATCCCTGAATTCTGTGTCCTACAAACAGATGTAAACGATACAGACACGCTAACACACACATATAAACGTGACTGATGTCTTAAGCATAGTGTCCCGCCACCGGGCTTAATTTGGAATGCAAACTCCAAACAAATCGTCGTCTTTACTCTCCGACGCCTTACCAAGTCCTTGGATATTCACCGTTGTGCTACAGAACACATGATGTACTACTCCAGAAAATTTTTCCATAAACCATGCATAGTTTGTGCAGAAATTACACACCTTTTCCTCTTCTCCCCACACTGAGAGTGCCAGGACCACATTTGCTGGGGAACCAAACAGGAGCCCTTTATCAGCCACAAAATGCATGGCGAGTCAAAGAGTGTTCTCGTGGATCCTTTTTTCACCATACCACATAGAGAGACAGGTCTTTCTGGAGAACCTGGCTATACATCTTTAGGTTTAAACCCTGTACAAAACCGGTCTGACTCTTCCCAGAATCAGTGCTTGTAACTGCACCCATGTCTGAGTCTGCAAATAGACGGATGGAGCCCAGACTAATTCGTTTTTCGCACAGAGATGACACTTCCCCGAGATAGGTTTGGATAACAATTTGGCCTGCAACGTTAGGAATATATATGCTGCTGTACATATTTCTCACACAGAAACCGAGTGGAGGGAAAAGCGAAAGAGAGCACCCTCAGAAAACGCAAGAGCAGAAGATGAATCAAAACCTGCCCTCTGATACAGCTATTACATTCCGTGCTCTCAAACTCTTCCACTGTGTGGACAACATCTTAAAACAAGGGATCTTATCCTCTCCTTGGCGGGGTGATTGTATACCATCCCTCCGGTAAACAGAGCAATTGCTTACACGGAAAAGTAATAGTAGTAAAGCATTTAATGTATTTGTTGCTGTCTTTGAAATCAATTTAGCAGCTGGGAAGAACGTGACCCGCCAGCTCTCCACTAGACTAATGCAAGCATTCTGCTGCCAAACCGCGGTTCGTGGAGCAGTTTAGGAAGCTGTGCCTTGGGAAACAGGTCTTGCCATGGGAAAGAAGAAAAAATAGCAGAGAGGGGCACTTCCAAATAGTGCTTAAGACTTCAAACTGTTCTTTTAAAATGGTGATTCAGCTCGAAAGATTTTAAAATTATTTAATCAAACCACCATGATAATTTAACTTCCCATTTACAGAAAAGATTCAAACTCATTTCAGCTTTACTCATTCTAGGGTCCGCTAATGTTTAAATGCAAAATCTGTGCTATTTAATTAGACCATGATTCAGCTTGCAGATTGCTCAGGAAAATATTAATCTCTACAAAGATCCTTCTTCAAGTTTTAGCCTTGCAGTCTGGAACTTCCACTTTATTCCTGATATTAAACGAATGTAGATCTTAATCCCTCAGGCGTAAGCCTTTGAAAATAAGGAAAATAGTTGAAAAAGCTGAACTAGCCAAGGGGAAAAGAGGAGGAAAAATAAAAGAAAAGAGAAATCTTTTCAGTAACTACAGACTGGCAGGTGTAGAAGTGAATTCAGAGCAGGTTAACTTATTGCTGATAAACCCAATCCTCACTAGTAAGAGAGGGCAATGTCAACAAGAACCATGATAATTTAAGGAAACGCAGAGTCTCTGTGACAGTCCAGAAATAAATAATTCCACAGACAACATAAAATAGATTTATAAGTTAGATACCAAGATTTTGAATGTTCTTCCAATACCCAGAAAAAAACTAGAAATGCTACTTTTCTCCTCCCCTCACTTTTTTTTTTAAGCGGCTTTGTAGAGGCTGGATACTTTACAATTACATCCTACAGAGGTAATATCCAAAGGAAACCTATACCCAGAAGTAATGCACGTAAACATCAGTGCCTCTGTAAAGAATGAAATTCAACAGGGTAACCTGAAAGTGGTGTCATCTGAAAGCAAGCAGAATTTGGTCTTAAATGCCCTGCAAATAAAGGATCCCAGGCCGGTGAACCTGAAGACCTCAACAGACCAAAACCAAAGCTTGTTGAGATGACGCGCTGCTGAGAACATGGTATTCCAGTCTAGAAGCGGGAAAAGTTGTTACTGATCAATGCTGCCACGGGAGAGAGTGAGACCAGCAAATGAGGACACAACTCACTGCGCTCTGCTTCGAGAACCGCGTTCTGTCTTTGCGAATGCCTGCTTTCACCATCACAGGATGGGAAAACGGTTCCGATCAGCCGACTGGTCATATCATTGTGCAGAAAAGGGAGAAAACTAGACTTCTCATCCAAGAAAAACACCACAAGATCCAGACAGAAATTCAGATTACGATCTACCTCATTTAAAATTCAAGCTTCATCTCAAATGCAGCAAACAAACATTCAGGCACCCAGGAATCATTTAGAACACACCACAAAGGGTGACAACTCGCTAAAGATTGGAAAGCGCCTGAACTGAGAGCAAGGAGACCTCTCAAAATCTACTCTACAGAAAATTAAAGGCAGGTAGGTACCTATTTTGTATCTAACATCACTAAGAAGTCACAGAAGTCCAGGGGTCTCAAACAAAGTGTTTCTTCATGTCAGAAAAATCGGGCAGCACAAAGGACAAAATTATTATAGCCAATCAAGCAGCAGGGAGTACGCAGCAGTGAACACACGTTAAGATGCTGATAAAGCACATCAGAGAGACAAGTATCAACAAGTACTTTCCACGAGGACAGGTAGCGGGGGCAATTATTTCCGCCATGCAGAACTAATTGCATACTATGAACTGGTTCGAATACCTACTCAATAACGCAACTTAAACCCTGGAAAAGGAGAATTTGAGTGGCAGAGCAGGGGGGTAAGACACCAAAGAAAAGAAAAAGTTGAATGAATGCTTCAAAATTATTTTTATCCACTAGGAGATATAAGTAATTGCCACAAATGGCAGTGAGAGACACCAG